AGGTCCAGAGAACAACGACTCATCCTAATTCTTGTCTCCGTCAGTGCCAGCACCTCCGAGCCTCCAACCGCCAACATTAAGCCTACACCTGTAGTTGCTACAGCCAGTAAACAGCCCGTCAACCCAGGGAACAAACCCACTCCGAGAGCAAGCATCAGGCCCATGATCACCCCAGCTCCTGTGCCCACTCCTACGCCCACTGCTACGGTCATGCCCACCACCCAGGTGGAGACGCAGGAAGGTAGGTTTAACGGCAAAGCTTTAGCTGACCTGTTAGCGAGTCGCAGGAAACTAACCGCAGGTTGTTTTTTTTAGTCATGGTAAAACCTGCAGTGTTTGTAATTTTTATTCTTGGACAGTGATGCAGCCGGCTGAAGGTCCACCAGTGGAGCATGTGACTGTGTACGGCAGTGCGAGCGGCTCGGTGCGCTCCGCCAGCCCCAATGTCCAGACGACCTTAGCTAGCCCCATGCTCACTGTGCAGCAGACTCAGACACAGGCCACCGCATTCGTTCAACCAACGCAGCAGCAGAGCATGACCCATACAGAGCCAGCCAATCAGGAGCCACCGCCTGTGGCGATCGAGGCCACGCCTAGCTCGCAGGTGGAGCGGCCGTCGACGTCGTCCTCTGTGTTTGGAACCGGTGAGAGATTGTTTTTGAAAGCCGAGGCGATATTTTGTTTTAGACGACGAGACTCACACGTGGAGGTTTTTTCTTAATAGCCACACTTTCTCTCCAGTGTCAGCAACACCGGGAACATCAGCAATGTCCAAGCGTCCTCGGGAAGAGGAGGAGACCGCCAGCGTGGTCGCTGACACTGAAGCCACTCAGGAGGACACCTCGCGGGCTCCCATATCAAAGAAGCTGCGCATTATCCAGAGAGTGGGTCCAGAGGTGAGGCTGGACTGATGCACATAAACCTCCATGGTTCTGATTGATTGATTGTTTTAAATTTGAGCGAATATTGATGCTCCGGTTCTGATTGTCTGATTGTAGGAAGAGGTGCTGGCCGAGGATAGCGCTGAGGCCGAGGGAGTGGTGCCGACAGACAGTCTAGACGGAGAAGGAAGCCAGGTTGGCCAAAACATTTTTAGTTTTGTACATCAGCTAATAATTACCATTATTTTAATCTTTGCAGTGATTAAAAGTAAATAAATAGGACTCAATCTTAAAGCTGCCAGTGAGGATTTCATAATGTTGTACCATAAGACAATTTTCACCATTGTAGCAGTACCATAAAGTAGTCTTGTGATAATGTTGTCACTAGGGATGCACCGATACCGATACTGGTATC